GTAGTAGAGAGTGACGAGAGTGACAAGTAATTATAACGTAACCTTATGAACAAGTTATCTACATGAATGCAGGAATTTATAAGTAACCTATAAGTATGTTGTCTATATGAACGCAGGAATCAGAAAATCCTATAGGCAAGTTATCTACCCTTTGCATGCATTCATTCTCATCCCTTTCCACTAGCCATCCCCAATAGCTATTACAAATTATTACAGACCTGAGTGAATCAAGAAAAGTAAAAACAAAATTACATCAGAAACTCAAGCTACAACCAAACAGTCTAATTCAGACTCAAAGTCCAACAATATGAGATAAACCAACTTCCAAGATCAGATTTCCAAAAGCCTTTCTCATGTTTGGGATGTATCAAAGTTCCCAAAAGTCTCAAAGGAGCTCCGGGCAATGCTTACACCCCAAATACATTGAAGAATTAGATCATGGTGCAGTGTGGAAAGGCCAGCCCTCAAATGTCCAAGTTCAGAGGGAACTCAAGGTCCCAAAGCAGGGCTCATAGGAGGGGGGCAGAACTTAAGAGTCTAAGAGAAAGTGTAAGTGCATAGAGAGGAATTAGGGAAAGCCATGGCAGGCGGGTGGTCATGCCCAACAATTAAGAGTGCTGGCACACCCCTGACTAGCCTATTAGCCAAATATGAGGAGTTAGGATCCATTGAGGACCAGGTTCCGACCTGGGCAGTAATTTGGATACTGCCAGACCAAGAACCTTAACTCAAACACATAAAGGAATAGGGGGTAGGGATTCACAATAGAAACAGGTGCAAGGAAAGAACATACATAGTTTAATCACTGAACATGAACAGCAAAGTAAACAAGAGTGCTGAAATTATAAAGTAAACACATAGGGGGTGAGGCAGAAAATTGAATCAGAACATACCAGTCTCAGGGAAAACAAGTAAAAGCAGTAATCTCGAAAAGGCCAAGTTGCAAGCAAAGTAGTTCCCAAAGATTTCAAGCAAAGCAGAGTATTGAAAGAGTATTGAATTCAAACCAGTATTATAAGTGTGTAAGTATTGAATTGGAAGTTAAGGATTGGTAGTGTGTCCGTCCTCTTAAAAGTGCAGAAGGGCTGTCCCTTTTATAGTGCAGAAAACAAGTAAGAGAGGCAAGGAAATAACATTGAAATCAATCTCCCTTTGGTTAAGGGATTCTGATTCAACGGGTAAAATCCAGTTAAGGAAAGGAGTTTTAATTAAAACCTTTTCAAAGTAGCATAAGAAGGGTAAATACATAGGAGTTACTTAGGGAAAACAATCAATGGTACACGGTTTGTGCTAAATATGGCAAGGGAATCAATCAAACAGCCAGTGAAACCAAAATTACAAGTTCAATTAGAATGAACCAAGTCAGGAAAGGTAAAGGAAGTTCAATCAAAGAAAATCAGTGACAATCTGACAGCCTTATTAAAAGGATTTCAGAATCAATCAATTAGTTGGTAAACCTTTTGAAAGAGGAGTTTCTCATATATAAAGCACACAAATAAGTGAATCAAGAAGGGATTGTAAAGTTATTTGGAAGAGAAGTTAATCAAAGAGAGGTCCAGAATCATAAGCAAAAGTGGTATAAGTCTAGTTTACAGACTCAAAACGAGTCTGGGAGTCCAAGGTCCCAAAATAGAACCCTAACTCGCACACAAATCAAAATTGCCAAGAAACCCCCAAATCCTAGGGTTTTCGAATTGAATCAGACATAGAGGTGAGAAAGCAAGCCACTTGAGAGAGGCTCGGAAGTCTTTTCCAAAGACTTATGAGAAACAAACATNTCTCTAGCTATTAATCACAGATTTATCAAAATTAACCGAATATATGCAAAAATAAAACCACCACATAAATAAGAATTCTTTATCTCCAAAAGCTACATGCAAAGATCTCATTCCATATTTTTAAGTGTGACCAGCAGCATTAGATGCAAGGCCAAAAGAAAATTTCATGGATGAAGTACTAAATAAGGTGACGAAACACAAAGAAAAAAATATATAAGATTCCAAAAAAACTAAACAAAAAGGGACATTTTTCAATGGGTGGTTGAAATCCATTGAAAAATATATAAAATAAAGTCAAATATACAAAAATCTAAAGAAAAGATTTGAGGTGATTTAGACTAGTTTTTAGCCAAAAAGTAGTAGTTGAAAATCAAAGTTTAAAAATTTTCTCTACGATACGTGTATCAAAACATGTTTCTCATATATATCTCACAATACAGGAATACAATGGATGTACAAGAGATATACATTTGAT